GTTTTAATATTTTTCTAGTTCCTTAAAGTGTATGTTAGGTTATTGATTTCTGATCTTTTTAATGTAGACGTTACAGCTACAAATTTCCCTCTAAGCACTGCTTTGGCTGTATCTCCTAAGTTTTGATATGTTGTGTTTTCATGTTCAGTTGTCCCAAAATATTTTCTGATTTCCCTTGTTATTATTCTTTGATCCTTTGGGTTTTTTAAGAGTGTGTTGTTTCATTTCCACGTTTTTAAATTTTCCTTGTCTTACTGGTTTCTGGTTTCTGGTTTCATTCTTTTTTGGTCACAGAAGATACTTTGTATTTTAACCTTTAAAATGTATCAAGACTTGTTTTGTGGCCTAACTTCTAGTCTATACCAGAGACTGTTTTATGTGTACTTGAGAAGAAGGTGTTGGCCTGTGTGTTCCTGTAGACATCTTGGTCTGGTTGATGTAGAGTTATCTTCAAGTGTGCTTTTCCCATATTGATCTTCCATCTGCTAGCTCTATCCATTATGAAAATGGCATATTAAAATCTCCAACCATCATTGTTGAATTATTTATCTTTTCAATTCTGTCAGTTTTTGCTTCATGCACTTTGAAGCTCTGTTGTTAGGTACATGTAAGTTTATAATTGTTACAGCCTCTTGATGTATTAACCCTTTTACCATCATAAAATGTCCTTGTTTCTCCTTGTTTTGTTCTTAAAGCCTATTTTTTTGTCCTTCCTTTTTTGTGTGTGTCTTAAACTCTATTTTGTCTAATCCTAGTGTAAGCAATCCAGGTTTCTTTTGATTACTGTTTACATGGTATATCTTTTACCACTCTTTTACTTTCAAACTATTGTCTTTGAATGTAAAGTGTCTCTTGCAGACAGAATATAATTGGATCATGTCTTTTAAAATCCATTCTGCTAGTCTCCGCCTTTTAATTCAAGCATTTAACCATTAACATGTAATTACTGATAAGTAGCATTTATGTCTTCCATTTAAACATTTGTCTTCAGTAGGTGATATGCTCTTTGTTTTTCTACTTTGTCATTTTTGCCTTCTTTTGTGTTAAATCAGTATTTCCTAGTGTACCATTTTCATTATTTTATGTCTTTGCTACATTTTTTGTCTGTTATTAGTGATTATCTTGTTGATTACAATTAATATCTTAACAATAACTGTCTTGTTCAGATGAATACCAGCATAATTTCCATAGTATACTAAAACTTTGCTCTTCTGTAGCTCCACTCCCTCCTTACTCCTTTGTACTGTTATTGTCATCCAAATTACGTTTTCCTGCCTTATATGTATACCAGCAGAGATTTCTGATTACTGCTTTATGTAGTTGTCTTGAAATCATATAGGAGAAAAATAAATGCATAAAAATACATTTATACATTATGGTGCCTTTTATATTTTTACCTGTGTAGTTACTTTTACCTAGAAGTTTTCTTTATTTCTTCATATGGATTTGAGTTATTATCTAATGTACTCTCATTACAGCCTGAATGACACCCTTATTAATATTTCTTACACAGCAGGTGTACTAGTGACAAATTTTCCCAATCCTTGTTTATCTGGGAGTGTCATAATTTCTTCATTTTTGTAGAATGGTTTTGCTGAATGCTGAAGTCTTGCTTGACAGGCTTTCCTTTCGGCACTTGAAATGTCATATCATTGCCTTCTGGCCTCCCTGGTTTCTAATGAGAAATCAGCTGTTGATCTTATTTGAGAGCCTTTGGAAGTGATGAGTCACTTCTCTCCTGCTGCTTTCACATTCATTTGTTGGCTTTCCACCTCTCTTGTTCTCGCCTCTCTTTTTGCTCCTGTTATGTAGATGTTGCTGTGTTTGTCCTCAGGTCGGTGAGGTATTTGTTCCTTTTCCTTCATTCTTTTTACTCTGTGTTCTCAGATTGGATCATCTGAGTAGATTTATATTCAAATTGGATGATTCTTCTGCATGCACAGATCTCTTGAGCCCACTAGGGAAGTTTTTACTTCAATTATTATACTTTCAACTCCAGAATTTTGGTCTCCCTTTTCATTATATATATAATTTCTGTCTCTCTATTGATATTGTTTATTTGGTAAGACATTGTTCTCATTCTTTCCTTTGGTTCTTTAGATATGATTTCCTTTAGTTCTTTTTGTGCATTTAAAACAGTTGATTAAAAGTCTTTGTCTAATAAGTCCAATGTTTGGACTTCCTCAAGGACAGTTTCTACACTGTTTCATGCATAATTTTTTTTCCCTGTGTATGAGCCATACATTTCTCATACATTCTCATTTGTTTGCATATCTCAAATTATTGTTGAAAACTGGACATTTCAAATATAATGTAGTAATTTGTAATCAGAGTCTCCCCCACCACAGCTGTTATGTGTTTGTTTAGTGACTCTTTTGAATTAAGCATAGAATCTATATTCTTTGTCATGTGTGGCCACTGAAGGCTCTGCTCCATTAGCTAAAGAGTCAGCTAATAAATTCGACTGACTTCCTTAAGTACCTGTACCCAGTAAGGCTCCAATCTTTGCTGAGGTGCTCTGTGTGTATCTTGGGGTATGCCTTCAGCAGTTAGCTGGCATTTTACTGCTCCGCAGTAGCCTTCACTTTCCCTGCACAGAGCCTCAAGGCTAACGAGAGCTAGGGGCTCAGTGCCTTCTCAGGTCTTTCCTGTGTATGCACATGGCCCAGGGCATGTATGTTGCCTTCTAGATTCCCAAGGATATGTCTGAGCTTTTCAAAGCCCCGGTGGGATATCTCATTCTCCAGCTTTTCCTTTTAAGCTTTTTAGTTAGACTCTTGTTTCCATTATAAACTATGTGAAGTAGCCATGAGGGTAAACAATATCCCGTGATTTTTTTTTTTCCCCACTAATGGCATGCCCCCAGGGAAAATGCTATTTGCAGTGGGTGAGCTTTGAGTCATGAGAAATGTAGACAGCATCATGAGTGAGATGTTCCAGGGAACCACCAGACAGATCAAATAATGACAGTTGTCTAGGAATGGGGCTTATCTTCTAATTGGACCTCAGTCTTAGGCACTGAAAAGTTGAGTCTCAACATTTTATTACTTACAAAAGATAGGGCATGTGAGTCTGGGCAGCATTTTGATAATGTCCGCTAGTGCTTTCCCCCTACTGCACTGATATCCTATCAAAGTTAATGTGTTTTGATGACTTTCCCCTTACAGATGAAGTATTATGTAGTGGAGATATGCAGTATGGGTCTAAGTGAATTTAGGCAGTGACTGTTCTTCCCCAACAGTAGCCAGCATCACATGGGGCAGAAAGAGACTTCGTCTGGATTCTCCCCCAGTCCTCTCTGTGACAGGTTGGATTCCTGGAGAAAATTCCACAAGAAGGTAGAAATCACCCTGTGACTCCCCAGGGACTTAATACTCTAACATTTGCACACATGTGGCCTTTAGCAGGTTAAAATTTTTCTGGCTTTGTCTTCCTGCTGTCTTCAATGGAGTTTGGTAGCATATGGTTCAGTAAGCAAACAAGTGGGTCCTGATTCTCCCTACAGGTGCCTGTCTCTTTCCTGATTTCAGATGGTGTGCCATGCAGTTTGATTTCTCTGATGAGTTCAAAAAAGGACAATTTCCAATTTACCCAGATTTGATCTTGTTGTAAGGATGTTGGTATTGTTCTTTTCAGCTGTCTACCTCTCTGAACTAAAATTCAAAGGCAAACTATATGATTACAATTTTTTCTAATTTGGTGAGACATATTGCTTTTTAATATGCAGAGAGTACTAGAAAATAATTTGTTATGATCAGGCTATCCTATATATTTCAATTAGTCAACTTGGTTAATTCTGTCATTTAAATGTTCTATATCAGTGGTCAGCAGACTTCCTGTGAATGTCAGATAGTAGGTTTTGTGGGAGATACGGTCTCTGTTGGAACTACTGAACTCTACAGTTACAGTGCTGTAGGCGACATAGATAATACATACAACAAATGTGACTGTGTTCCAATAAAAGTTTTTATTAAAAAAATAGGGGGTGGACCAGATTTGACCTTTGGGCTGTAGTTTGCTCTCCACTATTCTGAATCCCTATTGGTTTTTTCAACCTGCTTGTCCTATGAGTTACTGAAAGAGTTAAAATCACTAATTATAATTGTGAATCTATCTCATTTCTGTCATGTTTTGTTTATATACAGTCAATTCTCATTCTCAGCGGTTATGTTTTGTAAAGTTGCCGTTAACACTGAATTAACAAATACTGAATCACTGCTAGGAGAAATACAGGGTTAGGTTCTTGGAAGCCTCTGGTCACAACATTTTGGTCAACCAGTCAATATATTACCTTATTTTATGTATGTATGTGTTTTAAAACACTTCATTTAATATTATTGTTGATTCATAAACATGAACTGACAGCCAACAGCACCATAATTAATTCTTGAACAAAGCTTATCTAACACACTTGTTTTCTCCATAAGGCACATCACAGCCTTCTTACATTTAGGAACACTGGACAGCACTTCTGCACTTCACAGGGGGGCCATTTGAGACGGAAATCATCAGGAGAAAGCACAAACATGCAAAAATTGTGCTATATAGACTGCAAAAAGGACGCTTGTTTAGGACAGCTGAAACAAGAAGGCAAACCATTATCTTGCTCTGCTTAGCTAGGATTTTTTATCATTCTGTGTTTGTTTGCAAATGACTGCAAAATTATGAGTACTGATTTTGAGGTTACAAGTAAATTTTAGTGAGTAGGTGAGTTTGCAAATTCAGAATCTGTGAATAATGAGGATTGAGTGTATTTGGAAGCTATGTTTTCAATTGCATGCCAATTCATGTTTGTTGTATCTTCTGTCAAAAGGACCATTTTATCATTATAAATTGTTATTCGTTATGTTTTATCACTCCTACCTTCAAATCTAATGTTTTTCATGTTAATATATCATTTGTTTTAAGTTCTTTACAGTACATAGGAATTGTTTTCCTAGGTATTTTCTATGTCACCTAATTCTGAACCCTTCAGATTGAACAGAAATGTACTGTTGCAGGCATCAGTGTCATTCAAGGATGTGACTGTCGAGTTCACCCAAGAGGAGTGGCAACAAATGGGTCCAATTCAGAGAACCCTGTACAGAGATGTGATGCTGGAGAACTACAAAAACCTAGTCTTAGTGGGTGAGCATATAAGCATAACTTACCCTCATAACTCCATATAGAAGGCATTTCCTTTTTTGCACCAATACACATGAATACTTTATTTAAATTTTACTGTTATTTAGGCTTTTCACTCAGGAATATAAAGTAACTACATCTATTTAAGGAATGGTAGGAATGTTTGTGTTGTCAGCTCCCAATGATAAATTCAGATGAGGACCTTCAGGATGCTGTTCCCACAGCTGTGTCTTTTTCCACTGTTGGAGACGAAAGAGCTCATCATCTGGCCTAAGTACTCCACTGTTCCCTGTTTACAGGGAACTGCACTTACAAACCCGAGGTGATCTTTAAGTTGGAGCAAGGAGAAGAGCCTTGGTTCTTAGAGGAAGAATTCTCAAACCAGAGCCTCCAAGGTGAGTTACTGAGCACCAGCAGACAGAATCCTGGAGGGTAGTTAGAGTCCAAAAGGTCAGTTTACTAGGGAACACCTTCATATTTCAAGAATTTTCTTATAAAGCCAAAAGCACAAAAAGCACCAATCAAAGGAAAATGATTAAATTGGACTACATTAAAATTCAATATTTTTTCAAAAAAGATATCATTAAAAGGATAAAAAGATAAGCCACAGAGTAGAATATGTATACAGTACACTTACCCTAGAAAAGGGTAAGTGTCTTGAAAATGTAAGAACTTCCACAAGTCACTACAGGAAAAGGTAGCAGCCGAACTGAAGAACAGATGAAAGACTTTGAACAGAAACTTTCAGATGTGCATTAAATCTTTAAAAATGTGCTCGATCTCATTAGTTTTCATGGAGTGCCAAAGATAAGGTGAGATAAGAGATATGTATGATAGGAGGTGAAATTAATAAATCTGGCAATGCCAAGTCCTAGTGAAGATGCAAAATACTAAAGACTGGTGTTCACTGACTGAAGATGTAAATTGGTAAAACCACTGTGAAGTCAGGAGGATGTTATCAAATCAAGCTGAAGTTTTACATACCTTGTAACCAAGCAGTCCCTTTCCTAACTGTATTCCCTACAGGAAGCATGATTGTATTGTCTACAGTGAATAAAAGAATCTTTATGGAAATATTGTTTATTTTTGCCAAAAATTGGTATCATTAACAGTAGAATGAAGAAATAGTTATATTCCTTAAGGGAGAATTATACACTACATAAAATCTTAAACAGTGATTACAAACAGAACATTAAGCAAAAGAAACCAAAAAATATAAATATGCCTGTATGGATATATTTATGTAAATATCAGTAACAGGCAAAACTCAACTACATTTTTAGGAATTCATATATTGGTGGTAAAACTACAAAGAAAATCAAAGGAATGATTACATAAATATTAGGAAAGTGAGGAACTCTTAAGCATGAAGAAGTTGTAACTGGACAGGGATAAATAGGGATTTCTGCAGAGTCGTTTGTGTTCTGTTTCTTGACATGGTTTCTAGTTCCATGAATATTCACCCTATACTCTTAAGTTGCAAATAGAAGTTTTATACAGATAAAAATTGTGTTTCATGCTTAACAGAGTAAAGAGATGAGCCAGAAGTAGCATATGATATTTACAACTCATATAATGAACCCATTAAGCATGGGCATCTAGAATGCATAAAGAATTTGGACCTTAATCTCAAGTGTCATCTTTGCAGTAAGGCCTTCCATGATACTCCATTGAAAATTGTAGCCCTGGGGCCAGCCGTGGGGCCGAGTGGTTAAGTTCCCGTGCTTTGTTTTGGCAGCCTGGGGTTTCTCTGGTTCAGATCCTGGGCGCAGACATGGCACCGCTCATCAGGCCGCATTGAGGCCATGTCCCACATGCCACAACCAGAGCAACCCACAACTAAAATATACAACTATGTACTGGGGGGATTTGGGGAAGAAAAAGCGGGGGGGTGGGGGGGGGAAGAAAATTGGCAACAGTTGTTAGCTCAGATCCCAATCTTTAAAAAAATAAAATAGTACCCCTCATATCAAATTGAAATGTAGAAATTTAGGATGAGGTGATCAGGTTCACTGACAGTTTTGATAGACTGAATCAAAGGTACCACAGCCAGAATTGAGCAGTGAATCCAATTTAGTTGTAAGAATGGATTCTCTTTTCATCAGTTTTAAACTTGTTTTTATTTCTGTGACTCACAGCTGAAAGATGGCTTAGATCCTGAGCTATAAACTTCTTCCTTAAATCATGAGGAAGTTGGTGCTATCGATTTAATTGGATGTTGAATGATTGAAAGGAAATAAGGGATGATGGCAAATTGGAAGTATGTAGACTCTTTGCATATTGCACCAGTATAGTTTAGATAATGTAGGATCTATACTGTAATTTACTTCCTCAAACCAAACCCTTTCCCTGTTGGGTCTAGCCCATCAGTGCTCATTATCTCCTAATTTTTCCTGCAACTCTACTTGTTTATAGTCCTTGGTGTATTCATCCCATTATTTGGTTTTCCAGCTCCCTAAAATAATCACTCCTATAAATCTAATTTCTATTTTCTTTTCTTTCCCTTCTCCACTCTGGTAGGAAATTCCAATTTATCACAATTTAAATACAGATATGTGTTTCTTACCAGTTTCCTTTCTCATTTTCACTAGATAAAATACTGTTTTTTTGAAGGAGGGTGAATATATCTATATAGTCACACAAATTATTTAATCTTGAGAAATCAAAAAATGAAATGGAACATCAGCTATATTCTATAAGCTCCAACCATAAGAAATGTAAGACTCATATTTTCAATTTTCCTCAGTTTTAGGAGATTGCAAAGGTGATAACCTGTTCAAGAGGAATAAGAGAATCAAAGAGAAACCCTTACAGCAAGTAATATTCATCAATAATAAACCATTGACTAAAGAGGAAGAGAAATTTGGGGGAAGACCATTTAATCTGCACATAGCTTCTGTTTCTTCAACAAAAATGTCCTGTCACTGTGACTCATGGAGAGTGAATTCGCAAAATAGTTCTCAGTTTATCCTTAATAATAGAACCTATTCAACCAAAAAAAGAGATTCCTGTAGTGTATGTGAAAATTTGCCTTTCAAAATTAAGTTTGAGAGAACTCATGCTGGAGAAAAATGTTTTGAATATAATAAGAATGGGAAAGCCCTCAGTTATAAGGAAAGTCTTACTGAGCATCAAAAGTGTCAAACTTTGGAGCAAGCTTTTGAATATGATGAAATTAGAAAAGCTTTCTATAATGAGGCTGTCTCTGTTACACATAAAAGTACTCACACAGGAGAAAAATCCTGCAAAGATGATGAATTTAGGGAAAACTGTGATAAGACAACTCTCTTTGACCACAAAAGAACTAAGACAGGGAAGAAACACTGTCGTTTTAACCAATGTGGGAAATCCTTTTGTGAGAAGTCAGTTGTCAAGGAGTACAATAAATTTAATGTAGCTGTGAAACACTATGAATGTAATACAAGTGGGAATACTTTCATCAGGAAGTCACACCTCACTCAACCTCAGAGAACTGTCACAGAAAAGAATCCATTGGTATGTAATGGCAAAACACAAACTGGGGATAAATCCTTTGAATATTGTGAAAATAAATCCTACCAGACATCAACCCACAGAGTATGCCAGAGAACTCACTCTGAAGTAAAGCCCTATAAGTGTAATGAATGTGGGAAATCCTTCTGTCAAAAAGGACATCTCATTCAACATCAGAGAACTCACACGGGAGAGAAACCATTTGAATGTAATGAATGTGGAAAAACTTTCTCCCAGAAGTCACACCTCAGTACACATCAGAGAATTCACACAGCAGAGAAACCCTATAAATGTAATGAATGTGGGAAAACATTTGTGCAGAAGTCAACCCTCAGGGGACACCAGAGAATTCATACAGGAGAAAAACCCTATAAATGTAGTGAATGTGGAAAAACTTTTGTTCAAAAGTCAACCCTCAGAGATCATCATAGAATTCACACAGGGGAGAAATCCTTTCAATGTAACGAATGTGGGAAAACTTTTGGCCAAAAGTCAAACCTCAGAATACATCAGAGAACTCACAGTGGTGAGAAAACTTATCAATGTAGTGAATGTGAAAAATCCTTCTGGCGAAAAGACCATCTTATTCAACATCAGAAAACGCACACAGGTGAAAAACCATTTAAATGTAATGACTGTGGGAAAACTTTCGCCAGGACATCAACCCTCAGAGTGCATCAGAGAATTCATACTGGGGAGAAACCATTTAAATGTAATGAATGTGGGAAAAAATTTGTCCGGAAGGCAATCCTTAGTGATCACCAGAGAATTCATACAGGGGAGAAGCCCTTTCAATGTAATAAGTGTGGAAAAACTTTTGGCCAGAAATCAAACCTCAGAATACATGAGAGAACGCACAGTGGGGAGAAATCTTATGAACGTAATGAATATGGAAAATTGTATAAGAAATCAACCCTAAATGTATGTCAGAGAATTCAGGGAGGGGGAAAACCCTATTGATATAATAAGTATGGAAACTCCTGGCTAAAAAACCAACCCATTTGACATCAGAAAATCACACAGGAGAGAAACTGTGTAAAAAATGAATGTGGGAAGAATTTGTCCAAGAGGCAACCCTGAGAGTATATTAAAGAATTCCCTCAAGCTTCTATTTCTTTCAAGGTACTAGAGGAAGCCCTTTTGAATGATGTCATGTCCTATTAGATGACTCACACATCACATGAGCTGGTAATCTGTTCACTAGTAAGAATTTAGGTTTTTTTTTTGTTGAGGCACATAGCTGATCTAAACTTCCCAGTCTCCCTGTCATCTAACTGGGGCTTTGTAACTGGCTAGTGGGATGTGGATGCCACACCCAGTTCTCACAAAGAAAGACCTCCCTGACAAACTACCAGGCCACTGTCAGAACATGGAGACGACTTCCAGGACAACCTTGGGCGCCATGCTTTAACAGCACAGCACAGGATCAAAGCTAGGGTGCCTGTGCCTGGGGCTGCCCTATGGCAGGGTGGTTAAAGTAACACACGCTCTGCTTAGGCCCAGTTCACAGGTTCAGATCTGGGCACAGACCTACTCTACTCAGTGGCCGTGCTGTGGAGGCATCCCACATACAAAATAGAGGAAGATTGGCACAGATGTTAGCTCAGCATGAATTTCCTCACCAAAAGACACCCAGGGTGCCTGGAATGTGTGGAACAAGATTCTCTCTTCTACATTTTTATCGCTTGAATATATTGTGAACAAGAGTTAGGCTTGTATTCTGTTGAGCTGCATGTTTGGCTCTGTTTGTTTCTGCACACAATTTAGCCATGTCTCTGCTAGGAAGGCAGAAAATTACTGTAAAAGCTAAACTTACGTCAGCCAGAGAGTGCAAACCTTATTAGAGATTTGGTGTGTCAAGGAGTCCCTCAAAGATCATCAGAGAATTTGTACAAAAGACATTCTTTCAGTGCACTGAAATAGACAGGACCGCCTGATACAGGGCTTTGGATGAACCTAAAAAGTTGGAAGATTTTTGGTTGAAGGGTGAGTAGCCATCATGCGACTAAAATAAAGGGGACTTTCTTAATGTCATGAAGCCACTCTCCACTTCTCCATATACTCCAATCTCAGCTGGTTTAAGGGAAAGAGGTTTTCCTGTCTAGAAAAGGGACCAAAGGCCATTGGCACCCACTGAAGTATTCTGGGGAACATTGAGGGAAGGGGGGAACTCAAACTTGTATGGTTCTCTGGGAGACAGCTGCCCAAGGCAACATCTTATCAGTTCCCATAGAGGTAGGGGCATCTAGATTTATGTAATGTCATTAGGGCAGAGTTTACAGTAGGGAAGGGAAACGAATGGAATCTTAGGAATAAATTGGGTCCTTTGGGCCAGTGTAATGTACTGTGGTTACTTCTACATCTGAAAGTGTAGTAGGAATTAATATGTTGTATGCTGTACTTCCCCTTCCCAGAAGTCACAGAGGGCATTCTCCCAGTCAGGAAGAGTTGCATGTAAAGAACTACTTTTGAGGTCTCACAGCCTTAATGACCATTTTGGGCTTCAGGTCTCTGACTGGTGATTTTGTTGATTGGAACTTCTGGCAAAAGGAGGCACGCTTGGGGGCGGGGAAGGGTGGTTTGACTTGATGCCCTAACAACTCCCACATATACCCCTATTGTAACGCAGTCATTGGCCTACTTTTGAGCTCTTCTACATTACACCTGACTCGCAGAGGCCTCTGACTTAATGTTCCAATTTGGGAGTGTGCCATCTTGGACTTACCAACTGACAAGATGCGAAGAACTCAAGCTTCATGTGTGAAATCAAGAATGTAGCTGTCCTGGTCCCAGCAGCATCTCAGCTGTGCATGAAACAGCAACTATCCCTCAGGACGTTTACTCCTTGCTTTGCTGCCTGGAGCATAGCTGCTGGCTCAGTAAGGCCCTCTATTCATAGAAGTTCCTCTAATTGGGCCTGGTTCTCTGATGGTTTGGCTAGTTGAAACCACTCAGACGCTATGATTATTCAACCTTAGTATTATGCAGACCCCAAAATTGATGTGGCTGTTCCTCTCACTGAACAGAACACAAGGTTGTTCTCAACTCTGGCCACTGTTCCCTTTGATGAAATTTGGTGCATTTTTATTGACTCTTGGGCTCTTACTGTGCCTAGCTATTTGACATGCTGGTTCTAAAACTATAGACAGACAAGAGCACCCCTCTTTGGTGCTGTGAACTGTGGGGGGAAAGTCACAGGTTTTGAGCATAATGTCTGAGTTGTTCAACTAGATGCCCTAGATGTTCTGTGATAAGACTGGAATCAAGCTGCTAATCAAGCTTCACTACCCTGATTGCTAGCATTGCCACCTGGATCCCTCATCATACTGAATGGCAAAACATTCACCATTTTACACTGGATACAAAGGAAAGGTTTCTGTGTATCCAGTGCTCCCTTGGATGTCATTTGATAGAAGAACCTACATTTTTTTCTTCCAGGTTAATAGTCAATGCTCCATATGCCATTTGATTAATTCACCCCTTTCCTACTGATTTTAAATATTTTTATGTACTAAATTCTCACTTGTAAAGATATTGCATATGGCTACTCATGACCCATTCTCTACATTGTTTTATTAATAACATGTTTTGGAACAAGACTGGCACATACCTCATAGGCACCAAAAATCCTATCTTTCTGGCCTGATAATGTTTCACTGAAGTGTATTCAAATCAAGATTAGTAAAGGACAATGCCTCCTAGGACTCTGGAAATGGAGCATCACAGACCAGTTACGTTGTTATTCTCGAGCTGCCAGCAGCCTTGCCAAGAATATGCATCTATAATAAGAGCAGATAATGTCCAGTTAGTGCTATTCTCTGAAAATCAAGAGATAACTTTACTGTTTTTATAATAGTTGGTAATATCAAGAAAGTCTTAAAATTTTTTCTCGGTTTCTTATGATATTTAGAATCATGTCTACTTTTATATATAATCTTTTAGGATTATGACTGGATTTGCTATTAAGTTCAGGATCATCTGCCCACTAGGATGGAACCAGTTCAGCCAAGTGGCCTGAATCATGCATTGGGAGGCCAGGTGACAAAAGTCCCCTGACTGGACACTCAGGCCTCACCTGCTGTGCCCTTGCTGGCAGGACACCTCTTCTATATCATACATTATCAACTGGAGACTGTGATCTGTGCTGTAGTCATAGCTCCCTTCCCCCACCTGGCTCATTGCTCCAGGTTATGGACTTTTATTTCAACAGATGGATGCCTCATCTAGAGACACTGGAGGAGTCAATTTTCTATCTGCCTGCCTACTAAGGGTCTTCAAGCTAATAAAAAAGCCTCCATGAAGGCAAGAATTTGTATCTGTTTTGTTCATACTGTATCCCAAGCATAGGAAACAGTCCCTCTATCTATTGGGCACTCAGAAATACTTGTTGAAGGTAGAATTATCTAAATGAAATCTGAACATTTTTCCTTTCAATGCTGGAAATTCTCTTTTTAGAGTCATGATTTATTATAAATAGGTAAGGAAAATTGTTGCTGTAAGCTCCCACTCAGACTCTTCTGTTTTGGATGTTTTCTAAAATTGCTAAAACTTGTTCTTAACGTTCAGAACTGTACAGTACTATTCCTCAAATCTGTGCCACCAAAACAGAATTTACCTCCAATAAACTAATACTCCGAATTCAAAACTATGTCTGCATGCCAGTTTTTTATTAGCATAGTAAAGTGCAGCTTTTTAATTTATTTTTTTTGGCTTTGCTTCTGCGCAAATACCTTCTAAATACCAATCCAAGCAATTTTACAAAACAGTAGTAATGGTAAATCAGATTTTCAAGATCAACCAAATGGGAAGACAAAGGAATTGGTCTGGGAATCATCCCTTTAGTCCATTGTACCAGTAGTTCCCCTCATTTTTACTTCCAAATCGTCTTCCTGAAAGCTGCACGGAAAATGTCTCTCAGTTTCTCACTGGGCCCCATGGCCCACTGGTGAAATTCAGGGTGCTCTGCTTTCGTGGCCCAAGTTTGGTTCCCATGTGCAGACCTACACCACTCCTTGGCAGCCATGCTGTGGCAGTGTCCCACATACAAAAGAGAGGAAGATTGGCACAGATGTTAGGTCAGGGCAAATCTTCCTCAGCAAAAAAAAGAATCTGTCTTCTGAGAGACATGTCTGACCCCCACAGAAGGGGCATAGCACCTGTTCTGGCCTGCCTCCATATTTGTCCTTCCTTGCCAGGTACAAAAGCCCAGAAGAAATAATACATTTTGTTCTACCAAGGCAGCTTCACACTATAATGGGCTAGAAACAAGTTTATTTTCTTGTTGGAGATTGCACAATCTCAAAGTACCATTAACCTGCCTGGCCAACTGGCTGTTTAAGTGATCTTGCAGTGTTCTAAGGAACTGGCTGCCCAACTCACAGAACAGTATAATTAGCTTAACTATCAGCTGACTCTTGATACATCAGTAATAAACTAAGAAGCTACTTGGCCCTGGCTTTGTAGCAGTTCTATTCATATATATATATATATGTCCAAAAGGAAAAGAGTTCAAACAAAAACTTATACACAAATATCTTGCCAGCACTCTTTACAATAGCCAGAAGATGGAAACAAGCCTGTTGTCCATTAACAGATGCATGGATAAACAAAATGGTATATTTGTAAAACAAAATACTATTTAACCATAAACAGGAATGCAGTACTGAGACATACTACAATACAGATAAACCCCAAAACGTGCTAAACTGAAAGAAGCCAAACATTAAAGGTGGACTTCACAGCAAAGTATCCTTCCAGGGTAGAAAGAGACATTACATGATAAAAGGCTGTATCTGCCAAGAATACAATAATCCTGTGTGCATAAAACAACAGAACATCAACATACATGAAACTGACACAGAGAACTGAAAGAAACTCACAAATCTATTATAGTTGTCAAATTCAACATCTCTCTCAGCAATTGATAGGACTGCTAAATAGGAAGTGAGCAAGGAGAGAACAGTGAACCGCGCCTCAGCCTACCGAATATAATGTGCATTTATGGAAGACTCCACCCAGCAACAGCAAAATACACATTTTGAGAATAAATGAAACATTCAGTAAGATAAACCTCACACTATGACATAAAACAAATTGAAAATTTTAAAAAATTGATATCTTGTAGAGTATGACCTGTGACTATAGTAAATAAAACTAAAAATGAGTAAAAAAGGATGGAAAAATCTTCAAACACATGGAAATTAAACATGACACTTCTGCATATCCCATGTGATAAATAGGAAGTTACAAAGAGAATGAAAAAGTAATTTGAACTGAATTAAAAGGAAAAACTCATCAAGATTTATGCCTTGGAGCTAAAGCAGTGCTAAGTGGAAAATTTATACCACCAAATGCTTATATTAGAAAAGAAGAAAGGTCTCAAATCAATAGTCGAACTCTCATTTCAGGAAACAAACAAAAAGAGTAGAATAACATAAATCCAAAGCAAGAAGAAGCAAAGAAATAATATAAGAGCAAGATTGAATGATATTGACAACAGAAAAACAATAGAGAAAATCCATGAAACCTAAAATTGATCTTTTGAAAAAATTGATAAAACTCTACCATGACTGAAAGAAAAAAGAAGATCCAAATTACCACTTCGGGGCTGGAAAAGATGGTATCAGTACACACAGATATTAAAAGGATAATCAAAGAACACCAACTCTGTAGGCATCAATTTGACAATTTAGGTGAAACTGACCAATACTAAGGTCAGTACCTTGAAGCCACAAATTACAAAACCTCAAGATAAAACAGATAATCTAAATTTTTCTAATAAGTAGATATTTATAGTAAATAAGTAGAATTTATAGTAAAAATGATTCCAGAAATGTTCAGGCCCAGTTGACTTCAATGGAGAATTCTTCCACATTTAAAGAACAATTAACACCAACGCTACAAAAACTCTTCCAAAAAGTAGGAGGGAATACTTTACAACTCATTTGATGAGGCCAGTATTATTTGTACCAAAATAGGACAAAGTTAGTAAGAAAAAAGAAAGAAAAAAACCCTAAATATTTATATCCCCCATGAATTTATATTCAAAAGTTCTCAAAAACCTACTAGCAAATCAAATCCAGCAATATATAAAAACAAGTAAACACAACAAAATGGAGTTTATTCCAGGATGTCAGGCTCATTCAACATTTGAACATAAATTGATGTAATCAACCATATTAAAGTAAAAAGGAAAATGGCATTATCACATCATTGCAGAAAAAGCATTTGACAAAATTCAACACCACTTTATGATTTAAAAAAACTCCCAGCGGTACCTCACATCAGCATCATGGCAGAGTGAGCTTGCCTGGGACTCTCTCTCCTCCAACATACAACAAAAAGGAGCAACCATATTCCAATGGATAATACCCTAACAGCACAAAAATCCTTAGAGAGTCACAGCAGCCACACGACAGAGGGTGGAGAGGCTGGAGCCCTCTTGGAGGAGCTGGAATGGAGTAAGAGAGAACTTCGCTCTCTCCCCTAAAGACTGTGGTTGCTGCCACAGGAGGCTCCATGAGGGAAGGAGTGGGGGAGGGGTTGCGCCACTGTGGAATCACCCAGGACTCCCATGCACCCTGGCAGCCTAAAGGGAAGCCCTCTAACGAGGTGAAAGCTTTCATGTGGGGTGACCTCCTCAAGCCAAGATCCCAGGAGACCAGATAGGAGAGCTGATCAGGAAACCCGGGTCTGCATGCAGGAGAAAGTGCCCCTCCCCCAATCCATGCTGCACCATCTCGGCTGAAGGCTGAGGGCTCAGAATACGCCACTTGCCCCCTGCCCAGTGGAGACAGGCTGTAACTGCAACCGAATAATATCACAATGGGAAAGTCCTGTCCTTCCAACATCAGGCACCACATCAAATCTCCAGACCAGAGGGAAAATGACAAGCACCCAGAACTCAGTCCTGAGGACACAGAAATAAGTAAACTAAATGACAATGAATTCGAAATAGCTATCATCAAAAAACTCAATGAGGTAAAAGAGAATATAGAGAAACAAGTTCAGGAGCTACTTCACAAAAGAGATTGAAACTATAGAGAAGAATCAATCAGAAATGTGAAAATGGCTATAATCACTAAGACTAAAAATAACAAATGTTGGGGAGGGTGTGGAGAAAAGGGAACCCTCATACACTGCTGGTGGGAATGCAAACTGGTGCAGCCACTATGGAAAACAGTATGGAGATTCCTCAAAAAACTAAAAATAGAAATACCATATGACCCAGCTATCCCACTACTGGGTATCTACCTAAACAACCTGCAATCAACAGTCCAGAGTAACATATGCATCCCTATGTTGATAGCAGCACTATTCACAATAGCCAAGACATGGAAGCAACCCAAGTGCCCATCGACCAATGATTGGATAAAGATGTGGTGTGTGTATATATATATATATATATATATATATATATATATATATATATATACAGAAGAAAGGACAAATTCTTCCCATTTGCAATAACATGGCAGGACCTAGAGGGAATTATGCTAAGGGAAATAAGCCAGTCTGAGAAAAACAAACACCAGATGACTTCACTCATATGTGGAATATAAACAAGTACTGGGACATAGAAAATAGTTCAGTGGTTACCAGGGGAAGGGGGTGGGGGGTGGCACAGGGGGTGAAGGGGAGCATTTATGTGGTGACAGTCAAGAAATAATGTACAACTGAAATCTCACATTGATGTAAACTATTATGAATTCAATAAAAAATAAATAATTTTTTAAAAAACTCCCAGCAAACTAGGAATAGAGGATAATGTCACGAACTCTATAAAAATCATCTATTGAAAACATACAGCTGTCATTGTGCTTAATAACAAAAGACTATCTTCTTAAAATTATGACCAAGGAAAAGATGTCCACTTTCATCATTCTTATTTAACACAATACTGGAAGTCTAGCCAGCACAATAGGACAAGAAAAAAGAAATAAAAGGCATATAGATGAGAAAGGAAAAAATCTATACCTATTTACATATGACATAATTGTCTATGTATATACAAAATCCCAAGGAATCTACCAAAAAAATTTCTAGAATTAATAAATGAATTTCAGGTTGCAGGTTACAAGATCAACTCAAAAAAATCAATTAGATACCTATATGCTATATATATATATACACACGTGTATATCTAAACCTCAAACTTTATGTGCGATTTAATTCAAAATGTATCATAGCTTTCACTATAAATGAAAAACTATAAAACTTAAGAAGAAAATGTTATTTCTGGAAATATTCTTCCAGAACTAGTTACACAAAAAGTTCTTAGTCATGACTACATAATCATGATCAATAAAAGGAAAAAAATTGATAAATTGAATATCAAAATAAAACATTTACTCTGTGAAAAACAATGGCAAGAGGATGAAAATACAAGCTACAGAGAAAATATCTGCAAACCATATATCCAACAGCGGACTTGGGTCACAACTATACAAAGACTTCTTTAAAAAGTAACAAAGCAAACAATCCAGTTAGAAAATGGACAAAAGGCATGAACAGAAACTTTACCAATGAGAATATGCCAATGTGTACTGTATAATTTTTAATTTTCTGTCTATTGCAATGTTTTGAGGAGCCAGCCCTAGTGGTCTAGTAGTTAAGATTTGGCACTCTCCAGCAGCCTGGGTTCAT